ATACCAGGTGCGTTTTTCCTCCTTGAAATGAAGCAGAAGTAAAAGATAAGGAAATTAAACTAAGTTTAGATAGGAAATGCATGCTGGGAAGGGAAAAATAAAATATTCAGAACTAGCCAATGAGCCTCAAAGCCTTTCAGGACCTACATGTGTAGAAATCATTCTGTCTTTAGTTCAAAGGCCTAAGATTGAAATGTCCTCTCTTTCCACCCTGCCATCTGCCCCCTTTCCCTCTGTATGGAACTCCCAGTGCGGTCTCAATATACTGGCAATTACAGGCATCCTTCCCCCCCTCCCCCCACCCCCCACCCCCAAGAGGTATTAGGCACCGGTGGCTACTCATGTGAAACGTCAGCAGGCTGTTTTCCTTCTGTGAAGGTACAGTAGGTACAATGCACACGTGTCTAGGTGTGTGTATACATACCACCCTCAGTATTCTGACGTGGGGTCCATTTTATGGCAGTAGACAGAAGCTGGAGTCAAAGCAATTTATGATTCCAAAGCTCAGAGTTGAAAAAAAATTTTTTGTATAAAGAGTCCCCAACAAAGAACATAGCAACCTTCCTCCATTGCCACTGAAGGGGAGCCCTGTTTGAAAGAATATCTTGTTTGGGATATTGGTGAACTGACAGTCTAGGATTCTCTCTCCATTTGATACCTGTTTCCCGAGGACTATAGGTAAATGCAAAACACCTGAATAATACAGTACAATATTGGAAGAATGCACATAAAAAAGATAATTGCAGCTTTCCCCCCTTTTTGCTTAGATCCATAGAAACCAACCGAGGAGATTTAAGAGGGTGTTAAAAGCACAAGAGAAAACCCTGAAGCCTCAGTCATGGGATGTCAGGTTATTTTCAAGCAGTGTTTGCTTCCTTTGACACATTTTTGTTGTTCCATCTCAAGTATTCCCAAAGATCCTCACTGAGGAAAGTAGGCCATCAAAGGGGCATTGATGCATACCCATGCCAGCCCCTCTAGTTTCCAAACTGAGATATCACCATGTTTACCGAAAGTAAATCTAGACACCCAGAATTCAAGTTCTCCCCTCTAGCCCCTAACGGCATACTTGGCAGGTGGCTACTCCTGGGAATTACGAGGGAAAAAAGCTTCCACAAGTGGATTTCAACCAGGCTCTATTTACTGAATTTTCACTTTGGCAAAGATCTGGCTGCAAAACTGTAGCCAGAAAAGCTGGCCCTCACAAGATTTAAAATAGAAAGAAAGAAAGAAAACCAACCAACCTGATTTTTGTACTTAAAATATGTTGCATCTCTCTAACTTTCCCTACCTTCTTCTTCCTTCTCCTAAAACCACGTCATGCAAAAGAGAAGACAAATGTGCTTCCCACAGAATTTTACATTTTGTCAAATGACTTCCATGAAACAACTTTCAGCCATTAAAACTAGTTGCCAGTCTTTGCTGTTCTTGTCATTAGAACAAAGCCATTTCTTTTGTCTTTGCCACAGAATTCAGGAATGGGGCTATAGGTAGAATGTTCTGAATGTATAGATAGACCACCCTCAAAATCCCATATATTTCTCCTTTGATGCAAACAGACATGGATAATCTGGAAGTTTATCCCAAACTAGAGTCTTAAATCAATTCTGTTAATTAGGCATGAGGTTGGCTGTCTTTTTACCCTGTTATCAAGCAATCAAAGATGTAAGAAGGGCACAGAAGGTGGAGGAGAGAGGCAAGGGCGTGGAGAGAAGGGGGACAGCACACAGAGAAAATATGGTCGGCTTGAAGTTCATTTTGGGGTCTCCAATATTTTATAAGATGCAGCTTTGTCATGGAATCCAAACATCTTTTTCTGATATAATACTCATTACCACCAGGCATTGAGCTGGGCAATTAACCATGAGTGGGGCAGGAGGCCAGTAGCTGGGAGCAGCATTATAATTTCAGGTTTCCAAGTCTTTGACTTACAGCCATGTGGTCAGAGAAAAAAAGAGTAAATTGAAAGAAACAAAATTGTCAATGGCTTAGAAACACTCTTTTTCAACACATCAAACTCTTAAGCCCTGGAGTAACCATGCTTGAGAGGCCAACCACAAGAAACACCATGCCAGGATTTTCCTTTCAAACTTGGGATCCCCTGGAATGTAAGGAGGTAACAATTTGAATGAGAAAGGGGCTTGGGTTTCAATGGTCCATGAAAGGCCATTTTAAAGAACCAGTCCTTTGGGGAATAAAACATCCTGGGGTTATTTCTTGGAAAGCTCTGTTCACTCTATTGGTCTTACTGACCATCTCTGTCATTTCAGAGATGATACCATTTTATCACAAATCCTTTTCCAAGGGAGGAGGAGCTTGGCTAGGGCTGGTTATCATTCACAGGAGTCAATCCTGGCTAGAGGAAAACAGTTTCAAAGCCATTCACTTAGCACCCACCAAATTCTCAGGCTGATTCTCATAGTTAACAGAGGATTCTGAAGCCAGCAAGCACCCCATCAGCACCCGTTGCTCTGAGGAAGCCCTGGGCCACATTACAAAGGACCTCACTGATACAAAAGAGAGCCAAATCACCAAACATTTCAGACACTGAGGAGGACCAAAGGGCCTTTGTTCTGCCACATTCAAATGAGATCTTGTCAAGACCCCAGAGGACAAGGGGAGCAAACAAACAATTACTCTTTTGCATTCTCTTCCCCGCCCTCCCCCCCAAAAAAAAACCTTTCCTTTTAATAGAGCCTTGCATTGGTAAGTTCAAAAATTAAATTAAGTATTATAAACCCTTAGCAATAGTATTTCAAGAGGCAAAAGCAGCTCCAGCTTGGGAGAGAACGTTTGTTAAGTCTTGGCAGTCCTGGCTAATGCCATCACTGGTGTGTGCATTCGTGCTGGAGGCCGCGACAAAGGGAAATCAAGGAACCAACCAAATCTAGGTTGTCTCAAGTTTCATCTAGTGCACTGGCTGGAGGTGCTACAGTTAAATACCGCTGAGGTTCAAGGTCCCTCCCAAAGCCTTCATCCAGAAGGATGTACCACACATTCAAACAGAATCCCATGGGGCGCCCTGATGGACTGGCCACAAAATGCACTCAAACGCAGGAGAGAGCTACGAGATTGTCAGCAAGCAGTGCTCCAGAAATGATTTCTAAGTCATGCCTAGTTCTTAATCTTTGGAATAAAACTGATTTTCTTTTAATACCCTCCAACTAATATATATGCAATTGCCTCTGGCAAATGGACAGATTGTGTGTCTGTGTGTGTGTTTTAGGGTTTTGTTTTTTCTTTTTCTTTTTTGGACTAAACTGACAAAACAGATAAAACAAATTCTAAGGGTCAAACCTCAAAATGCCCCATGTGTCCAACTGACAGCTACAGCATTTGTGATAAAGAGGTGTCTTTACCCTCAGACGAGTAGTTTCAATATTTCAGAGAAATCAAAGGTTGCAGAAAGCCGAAAAACCAAATGTCAAGGATCTTGAAGGCTGCAGTCATACATGGGTTTGTGTTTCTTATATTATGGTTTCCTTTTAAAGACGTCTGTTTTGCATCCCAAGTATGTATGGGGTGACATTTTAACAGTCAATGAGTCAAACAGTCAAAGGAGGGCAGGAGGGAAGCCAGCTGATATGAAGGAGCAACAACCAGGTGCGGACCAAATGCCATTTTTGTTTTATAGACGTGTCTTGAAGGGATGGTCCCAGAATATACAAAATATACAATCTGTCCTAATAACCACCCCACTTGCTTGCATAGGCCATTTAATGGTCCTAAAGGCAGTCTTTGGAGTTGAGGCCAGAGCCAGCTAGCTAAGAATGTGGGTAGATAGATACCGATATTGGGTGGGTGGGGTGTGCGTGGGATGAAAAGTGAGGAACGCCAACCCCCTTGGAGTCAGCTTGCCGAGTAAATGTGAGGCCTCTGTTGATTCTGGATGTTCTACGTCACGATTCATGGTGGACCTAGCCACAAATCTTAGAAATATGTCTCTCCTTTTTGACAGACCACAAGAGAAATACCTCAACTCTTTCCTTGAATGTCAACCCTTCATTCCCACCATGGCATTTTGAGATGTGTAATTTTTAACAAGCGGGGGGACTATGAGCTCAGTGGGTATGAGAGAGGAAGATAGGATGTATTTTGTGAAGCCCCTAGACTCGGGAGGTATCCTCAGTTTTCCCCACTCCTGGAAAGAGTGATCTTTTTGGCTTCTGTCAGGCATAACCCAAAGTTAGGTTCAATATGCAGCTGCCCTTGAAGACTAGCAACATCTATTCTGTAACTGGTTTTGGGGGAGCAATGCCACACAACACAGTGGTTGATCACTATGAGCTGACGTCATCATGCCTCAACTCAAGGAGGATGAGATGTCCCATCTGATTGGCTGTTTCGAGAGCTGGACATCCAGGTGCCGAGATGGTCCTGGAGAGGATTAGTCCATGGAGAAAAGATAAAACATTTAAGCTTCCAAATAAGCTTTTCAAGTTTTCATTAGCAAAAACAGAGATTAAAAAGAAAAAATCTAGCACTGGTAATAAGGTCAGGCTCAAGGGATATACTGTGGTTTATCATCAAGGACTTTATTCTCTTGGCCACTTTGCAGTCATGCTAGAAGTTTCCGGAATCCCTAGTGCATATGGTGTGCAAAAGTCAAAAAAGTAAGAACAGAAAAACAAAACAAAACAAAACAAAAAAACCGCAAACTTCTCCCTTGAGAGTGAAGTCTAGAGAGATGCAGGCCAGAGAGGTGTAAGGTGTCATTCCAGAGTCTGCCGCCGCTAAGGTCGTTGGTATTGACTTGAAAGATCTCAATAGTGCTAAGAAGAACCAAAACCGATCAAGAGTTCTGTGAGGAAGTCTGACGCACGGAATAGTAGGACTTTTCACACACAAAGGACAAATAAACCAAGAGTTAATTTTGGCTACCAAACTGCAATTTGGTTTTCTAGGTCATTTTCCCCCAACTATTTAAAAAGAAATGTTAGTGCTACACATATGCAACTTTAAGACGTTGTATTCTCCCATCAAGTTGCACTGAGAAGCAAGTTAAATAAGCCCCTCTTACTGCTGTCCACCTGCAGAGACGTCACATCCATTTTCTTTGATTTCCATTTGCAACAGCAGGAAATAATTCCAATGGTGCTGAAGTAAGCAGCCAGTTTGCCTTGCTGAGTTCACCTGGTCGCCTTTTCTTCGTCTTTTACCATCTGGCTAGGGCAAGGCATAAAGAATAGACGTATATATCTTAAATATAGTTGAGTGCATGACAGTGTGAATGTGGTGTGTCTTTGTGTGAGTGTGTGTGTGTATGTGTGTGTATACAGAGGTTTATAAGTGAGAACTTTCTTCTGTGAGGCAATGGGGTCCCGCCTGAAGTCCAGCCCCCTGCCTCACGGCATTTCCTTCACACAACAGCTGATGCCATGACAACTCTGGCTTTAGGGATTTTAGATATGTCTCTTCATATGGAGGGCAAGGTGGTCAGACCTGGAAAAACACCTAGAAAACGCAAACAACATGGATATCAGAGATTTGCATGTAAAAGAACTCCACTTTCACCACCCCTTAGAAAATGATCCAAACCCAAACACCAAACCATTCCCACCCACTGAGACCCCATGTGTTTCAGAGTAGAATTGTGCTATATAGGGTTGGCAGAACTATGTCCTTTTGTAAGCAGATTTTGGACCTTTCTGAAGTACCTCTGGTTGGGTTTGAACTGCCAATATTTCTCTTCGTAACCCAATTCTGAACTGTTTGTGGCACCAGAGCTAGACAATTATCAACATGACTTTAAAGAGGATTGGATGGAGAAACAGCATGTTGGGAGAAAGGCCTTCTCAGAGGTCAGACTGCCTGGGTTCAGATGCTAGCTCTTCCAATGACAGTGTGACTCAGGGCATGGTGACCTCTTGTGCTTCATTTCTCCTCAGTCAAATGGCACATAGTAAGAGCTACATCAATATCACTGCCATCATCATCATCACTGTTCAAGAAGAGGAGAAGGTAAAAGTGCTTTGGAACTTACATGCGTCACGCTCATATAATGTAATACAGTCAAGAACAACTAGCCTGTATTATAGGAGTTGGAACTCTGAAGTTTTAATATCCAGATTTCAGGCTTGAGCTTTACAACGGAAACCCAGAAATGCTGCCTGTAATACAGACAGTCCATATTCGAGTCAAGAAAAAGAATGGACCCAGAGAGGGAGAGAGGCTGTGTGCTGACGACCAGGGAGCAGGCTTGCAGGGTAGACCCTTTGGTTGGTTGATGATGCATTGATGCATGGAGGGGATTATAACCATGGCAATGAAATGATATACGATAGGATGAATGTAAAGCTAGTGTTCTCCCATGTATACTATCACATAATTCACAATAAAATATTTTTTTTAAAAAGAAAAAGAATGGAGGTGGACCATCAGATTTATTGAGTATGGTACAATATACAGGCACTGCACTAATGTTTCCCAATATTGTTGTTGTTGTTAAGTATTGATGAGTGGGTTCTGACGCATAGCAACCCTATATAGGGTTTCCAAAGAGTAACTGGTGGCTTTTAACCACTGATCTCATAGTTAGCAGTCCAGTACTTCTTCTATAGTGCTACCCCAGAAGTCCTTCCCAACATTATCCTAGCAATAGCCTCAATGACCCTCTTTGGTAACTATACAAATATTCACACCCTACCTGTGTGTCCATGTGCTTGTGTGCCCATGCATATGTATGTGAAGGGAACTCAGGTTAAGGCCACATAGCTAATGAGTGGCAGACTTGGGATCAGACTCCAGGTGGTTCTGCTGAGTCCACTCTTGAACCACCAATGAAGGCCTTGCTCAGCCTCATGCTGGAGGTAGTGGTTGCCTTCATTCCTTCTTCTTTCCATTTGCTTTTTCCTGGATGGCAATGCTCTGGTGTTCTCGGGTATATGGACATGACCCTCCTCCTATGACTGAAGTTGCTGCCACAATTATGATTGAAAAAGGGATAGTCATGTAACCCATAAAGACCAAGAAGCACCAGCTCTGGGACATGTACTGAAATGACTGGAACAGAGACCAAGCAGAGCCAGGTGGCAGGAAAAGAGAGAGTCCTGAGGCCCATACCTGAGAAGCTAGATCAAATCAAGTCTGATTCTGTTCCTAGTTACTGAAGCTCAGTATACACGGCTTGAAACTGATACCAGTCGGAGGCAGGTTTCCATCTAGTTCAGAGAGTGGGCATTTCCATATCTTGCAGCCTACAATCTAAGGTTCTGGCTAGAATCCCAGTCATGTCAGCAGGTAAGTAAGATACAAATTGGTTTTAGCTCTTTGTGTGTGCTCTCCCTCTGGATTGTTCCCTTAAAATGATCCACTTCCTAACCTAGGAGAAAGTTTCTAGGGTCCCCTGAGGCCTGAGATAAATCCCCAAAGTCCGAGACTCCTGTTAGGATGTTAGCAGACTACCCCGTTCACGTTAGCCAAGGTTCCTGTTTGGGGTAGCATTTTCCTGTGTCTGTTCATTCTTAAACAAACAAACAAACAAGAAATCCATCCTTTCCCCTGACCCAATATTCTCCACACCCCTTGTTTGTGTCCATTTCTTAAATAGGTGCACGTTCAGGAAATAAATGAAACTGAACAAAGGTAAAATAAGAAACAATTAAGAAAGGGAAAAGTATAGCAGAAAACAATCCAATCCGAAAATATATTGGATGTTAACAATTCCAGTGATACCCACTTATTAGGATAATATCTTAGAATTCCCTCTAACGAAGATTTGAATTGCTATAAAACAGTGATACATTTTCTTTAAAACTAAGTACTTGATGTTACTGGTACATACAAAAAGCAATGCAGCCTGCTGGGAATTAAGCATTTACCTTGCATAACTGTCCTGCTCAAGGGACACAGCTCAGTGTTACCTAAGACCTGCTCTTTCTTCTCCTTCACTCTATATTCTTCCCTTCTTTCCCACTTCCCTACACTCCTCTTTCTTTTTCTCTTCTCCCTTCTTTCATCCCAACAGCCTAGAGAAAGAAAGTCCAAGTTGGGAAATTTGGGGGTATTCTTGTGCATGTGTTCCTAAAATTAAAAGCTAATACCCTTTACAAGAGCCCCCTAAAGAAAGTTTCATTTTTATCCCTACTACCAGATGAGACATTCATCAGAAAAATGCTAAGTTGAAATTTGAATCCTGGGATCCTGGGTGATGCAAACAGTTACATGGTCAGCTGCAAATCGAAAGGTGGAAATTTAAGTCTACTCAGCGATCCTGGTATGGTGCTGAAAGATAAGCACTGGACCACAAGGTCAGCAGTTCAAACCCACCAGGCTCTCCTTGGAGATCCTACAGGGTCGCTATGAGTTAGAACCAACTCGGCAGTATTTAACAACAACAGAGGTGTTCAGAAGAAAGTCCTGATGAACTCCTTTCCCCAAACCGGCTTTTGTATAGTCTGTGGAGTACAGAGCTGCTCTGGCACCCATGGAGGTTGCCATGAGTCTGAACTGACTCAAGAGTAATTAGCAGTACAGGCAGTTAGACTCCGAGCCCATGTTCTTAGCTGCACATGTTCTTTAGGTGGAGAAATAGGGAGAGGTGAGCTGTCAATTGAAGGAGGTTTTGGCAGGCAAAATAAAGGTCACTCAATGCTGACTCAGTGCGAGTCTCCAGAATGGAATTTGCTAGGTTACATGCCAAGGAGAACCAATGCTGCAGATGAAGCCCTGGCTGTGTTAGTAACTGAAAGGTCAGTGGTTTGAACCTACCAGTTGCTCCCAGAGAGAAAAGACTGAGTGAACTGGTCTTGTAAAGGTTTCAGCCAATGAAATTCTGGCAAAGTAAAGTAGTTCTATTTTGTCCTGTCAGGTCACCACGAGTCAGAATTGACTCAAAGGCATACAACAACCACAATCACCTGATAGGAAAAGGGAAGGGATGATAGCATAATTATTCTTCAATATGTGGATGGGCCCAATGTAATCACTAGAGTCACTGAAAATGGAAGAAGGAATTGAGAGAGAGGTCCAGAGAGATGGCAGTGTGAGGAGGAGTTGGCCTGAAATTGCCGGCTTGGAAGATGGCCATGAGCCAAGGAATGCAGATGGCCTCTGGAAGATGGAAAGGCCAAGGAAACCAACTGTCCCCTAGGGCCTTCAGAAAAGAAGCTTGTCAACGTAGCCTTGTCAACGCCTGGGTTGTAGCTCAGTGAGACTCACACTGAAATTCTATCCTACAGACTGGTAAGACAGCACATTTGTGCTGCTTTAACATGCTAACTTTGTGGTAATTGGTTATGGCAGACAATAGAAAACCAATAGAGAGATTATGTGGTTGGGTGTGGTAGTAAGGAGAAAGCAAGGCGGGCACCAGGAATTGTGGCGCTGTGGGTTAATGCGCTAGACTGCAAAGTCAGTTTGAACTGCAAGGTTGGTGGTTCAAGTTCACCAATCGCTCTTTGGAAACCCTTTAGAGGGTTGCTATGGGTTGGAATCGACTCGACGGCAGTTAACAACAACAACAACAACAACAACGAGGAGGAAAGGAGTCCTGGTGTGGCGCTGTGGACTAATGCGTCAGACTGCAAAGACGTTTGAACTGCAAGGTCAGTGGTTCAAGCTCACCAGCTGCTCCTTGGAAACCCTATACAAGGTTGCTATGGCACTCAACAACAACAAGGAGTAGGAGGAGAGCAGACATGCGGGATGTGATGAGAGTGAAGGTCCTGGAGGTAGATGATCACTCGTTTTGTTCCCTTTCCTAGTCTGGGAACTTACAGAAAAAATAGAATGCTTGATACAGAACTTTATTTTCAATAATCCTTCAGTAATACAGTAAAACTTGTGAAAGTTGGAAACTGTAAGGCAGAAGCCTGTTCAAGAAGGAAAACTCAAAACATTTTCCATGAAAGAGAGAGGGACAAAAATGGTGGCCACCCTGTTCAAAGGCAGAAAGCTGGTGAGGCCCGGATAATAAGGCTGTGCTGTTGAGTCCTGGCTCCCACAGGTTCACTGCTGTTGTGCTGCAGGTTTTTACTCTGCCATTACCAATGACTGCTTTAAGGCTATGTGTACAGTAATACATGTGCAAGCCTCTGCCTTCACCATTTACTTTCGTCCAGGAAAAAAAAGTGAAAAGAACAAATCAAACCTTTAACATAGCATGCAATGTAATCGCACCCTGCTGGATCAACCTAGTATCATTATTCACTCAAATTCTAGGAAGGATGTGATGCTTAGCATTAGACTAGGTCCCTCATCATTGAGGTTTGTATTTAAATTCAATACACCAGCAAGATACTTAATTTCTATTTATTAATTTAGACTTACTGAGTGCCACATAAGAATAGTAAAAGGTAATAGATAAAACCAGCATCTAGAAATGCAGGATCAAATCATTCTCAGAGCAATATACCCCTTGTTGTTGTTGTTAGGTGCCATTGAGTCAGTACTGACCCATAGCAACCTTATGCACAACAGAACGAAACACTGCCCGATCCTAAGCCAACCTCACT